TTTATAGATATAATTTTTAAAATTATAGAATTAAAACTGATTGAGATATTTATTTACCTTATAACAAAACTTATGAATCAACCCATGTATATGTTAAAAATAAATATTTTTGTTTATCTATATGTAACTTTTTTTTTTATTAAGATAACCTATTTTGACTTCTTAAATAAACTTGTTTAATATAAAATTATATATATAAATATTTGTTAAAATATATTTTTTGAATTTTTATTAAATAAAAAAAAAAAATAAATAAATAAAATAAAATTAAATTAATTTTTTTAAACTTTAATCTTATTATTTACTTAATAAAAGATTTTATTTTAATATATATATATGTATATAATTTTATATTGAACAAGTTTATTTAAGAAGCCAAAAAATAGGTTATCTTAGTAAAAAAAAAAGTTACATATAGATAAATAAAAATATTTATATTTAACATATAGTTAACATATTTTTATACTAAGATAACCTATTTTTGTCTTTTAAATAAAATTGTTATTGTATAATATTACATATAATAATTATTTTAAAATTAAAAAATAATTATTTTTGAAGAAGTTACATCTTTAAAATAAACAAAATTAGCAAAATTTTAACTTAGTTTTTAAGTTAAATTTTTTCTTCTTCTTTTGTTCTATATAATTACAAAATTTAATTTTAAGTTACTTAGTTAAGTTGAAAAGGATCTTCAGCTTAAAGTTTATATAATTTTACTATAATTTTTATTATAAACAACATTCTAAGGAAAATGTCCTTTGTTTGTATCCAAGCTGACAACTTGCTTCTTTAACTTCAAGTTTATTAACGTAAGAAAAAAGTATCAATTAATTTCAAGTTTATAGTTGGCTTAATTAACGAAATGACTAAGAATAAGTACACAAATTTGGAAAGCTTATTTCTCGGCAAATAACACTCGAATCTTTTATATTCACAAGCCCAAAGATTAATTAGTTACTATACGAATGAACTTAAATTGAAGATAGTGAATATTTTACAAGAGACTATTTTTCAAGAATACAGTAATGCAAATTAAACGCATTAATAAATTGACCAAAAAAAAATTTAAATAGGTAAAGGTAAATGTTAATGAATTTGAATAGTTTATTTTAATGTATATCGATCCTTATATTTAAGAAAGGTAAAAAAAGCCAATTTTTGTGTATATTTATTAATATAAAGAATAACTTTATCTTTTAACAAAAATAACAATTCAAAGTACAAGAACTATTTTTTTACTGTAATAGTTATATTAGCGAGTCTGACTTTGTATTTTGCTTAAAGGTGGTACAAAGTCCGATTATTAGCAACGCCTCTATCACTAATTAACAACATTTAGAAGTTTAACTAATGCGAACAAACCTAATTTTCTTTTTTTTGCATGTTGATTATATATATTACAAATACAGTCGCACCTCCTGAGTGCAAGTACTATGTAAAACCTCTCTAAATACACAATATGGTTTGGTCCCAACTTATAAGAACCCTATGTATTTTATTCTCTATAAGTGCAAAATTTTAATTTTTTTCACTATGGTCCCAACGGGATGCATTTAGAGAGGTGCGACTGTAATTTGAATAATGCACAACAGTCAAAACGAGGTTAAATAGACGTTATTTGAACATATATGATGATATTAAATCTAATGATGCAATGTCTTTGTCTATTTACCTTCCACAAAGTTCTAATATTTATTGATAAAAGAATAAAATTATAACGGATAAATGAAATTTTGAGTTTTTGGACAAACTGTCAAGTTATCGAATCTTGAAGGTATGAATTTTTCGTTCAGCATTCAAGAATGACAATTAAATAATACACTACCAACAAAACTAATCCATCGCTTTCTTCGATCATCGTCACAGTCATTACGCTTTCATATATGTAGACAAAATCATCCATCCAAGATAATTGCTTATTTGCAAGTTTATCTAAACATTTATATTTTATATTTTTTTTTTATTAATGCAAATACCAAAGGCATCAACCGGTTTCCCTTTACGTATAGACGATGATGATCCGACCTTTCTTCTGCTCATAGACGTTCCTCATAATTCAAATGAACTGATAACTTCTTTAGTAATAAGTTTCCACATCCATCTAAAGAGTGTGCTGAAAGTTTGGAAGTTCGTGCATATGAAATTTTGAATTTGGATAATTCCAATGAAGGATCGACCGGTTTTGGATTAATATCAATCGTTTTGCAAGTTGGTGAAGATTGATAAAGGATTTTAAGAGCTCTTTAAAAAGCATGGTTTTTTTTCTATTCGTGTTTTATACTGTTTAAACTTTTATTTATGATAATCATATAATATAGGTTAGCTGTCTCTGTTGCATCGTGTCCAAAATACATTACAGGTTATAGTCAAAGAGTTGTGAATCGAATGAAATAATTTTATGAGCTTTTGACAAAGTACATGACCTAATATTAAACCATGTACTTTGGATTTCAAATTCGCGTAATAAAGATCTTTACGTTACATAGTATAGTGACAGCTCTTTTCGCTTTGAGTGGCACGGTACAACCTCTCTTCTCAACTCGTATTAGAGATTGGAATCAAACCTTTAATTCATTGAATATTCGATTTAATTCGAATTAAATTTAGATTCGAATTAAATTTGAACATTCATGCATAAGTATTACGTGAAACATAGCTGTTATATATATATATACAAAGTAGCCGTTAAATATATGTAATGCATTATAAAAATATTCTAACGGTCAAGCCGTTATAAAACTGGTTTAATAGTCTAACCATTACAAAATTGGTTTAACGGCTAACTGTTATAAACTGTTCTTTATAGTTATTGTATAGATGATTTCGTAAATATTCTTCTGATAAAATTTGGTTGGCCGATAATCGACCAAATGTTAACGATAGTGTACGGTAAAAGTCATGGAAAAACAAAGATTAACATATGGAATGTTACATTTTTTTAACCTTGAATAAAGTTTGATCTACCAGTCCGTTTTAAATGAAACAACTATAAATGTTCATCTCATTGAGACAAAATATTTTGGTAGTTCTATTCAAAATGGACTGGTGGATCAAAACTTATTCAATGTAAAATTTAAAAAATCAGCCCATATTAAGTTTTGAAACCAATCACATTACAGTATTTCGTGTAATCAATTTTTAGCCATTGAAAATACATATTAAACCCATGTGATGTTTCAAATTTACGCAATTTATTTACTTAAAATTTCAAAAAAATCCAATCGTTATTAGATTTATTTAAACCCATTCTATTGAATAACTAAGTTTTTGGCAAATAATTTGCTTAATCAAAATTATTACTCATTTAAAGTTAGTGGCTGTCTTTAGCTTGTGTGCACCATACTAACAGAGATTACATTGAAGGTTCTTTTATCCACTCTTTTATAGCTAGTCAAATTTGCGGTCAAAATTTTGATTTACCCATGCAAAATTTGTTAGAATTATTTAGGGTCCTATTACAACTTCTACATATTAGGCAAGGTACGTAAGTTTTTTAAAAGTATTCCCTACTACACTACATGATAAATTTGTAAATTGTACCCTGCAAATTGAGTTTTGGGTTTTGGGCGAACCAGAGGATCGGGTTGGGTTGACATGTTGTCACCCATGATCGATCGACGATTAATCAGATTTAATTAGGAAAGCTAAAATTTTATCCCAAAATTGATTGTGAATTCTGATCGACAAAACTTTTGCATGTGAATGAGTGACCAACAGTAATCCGGCCCTTTTGAATGTTCTGTACATATGACGTAAAATAGAAAAGTTATTTTCAATAGCATTGTTTTTGGATTTCCACTAGCTAAGGTAGCAGAGTCATTGTGTTCAAGCAAAAAATTAATATTATTCTTACGTATAACATTCGCATTTAGGTTTGTTTATGTTTCGTTTTACAGCATAATAAAGCATAATAAAGCATAATAAATATGACTTTCGTAACTGATTGGTCAAAGTATCATTTTTATAGGCGATAATACTTATTCGAGTGTAAACATATCCTTCTTTCGATAGACTCTTTCATATAGCTATCTATGTACGTACTTCTTTGTATATATCACGAGCAAGAATGTTTTTATTAGGTTTCTGCTAACCCTTATCGATATCCGACACAATATAACTTGGTCCACGAGTGCGTAACTTACGAGGTCCAAAAAACAGGTATGTTGAAATGAAGCCAAAAACGGTTATATCAGCGGCGTAGGATAGATACTAAGGTGATGATTTCTTATTGTAATCGAGTATTGTCATATTATCAACTTTATATTTCTTTTTTTTATATAGTATCAGTTAACAGATAATTGTAATTATGACTTTACAAGAATTTCTTAATACGTATCAATATACTTGGTGTTTTATTTAAGCAAACTCATAACATTAATTCATTAACATTACCAATAAGGATCCTTCAAATGATCGACACATTTGCCATTTGATAGTTACACATGCAAAATTTGCCTTATTTGAAACGACAATATGAAAAAAGACAATACATTAATAAATAAAACACAATTAAAAGGAAATAATATGTACTTCAAGGATATATTATGTTGCTTATACTTGAAGGATTGTAAGAGATAAAATAATAATTGTTCTTAACGTCTAAAAAATACTTATTATTTATTGAAGAACAGGTTGCAGCATCAATGTTAGTTATGTAAATCATATAAAAACTGATTGCCATTATATTCTGAAAAAAAAAAAACAATTATCTCTCTTATCTGTTACTTAATGAAGAAAATTGATAAAAGGAGCCTATTTTTTTGCAAGACTTTTACGACAATAAACATTCCTGTTTGATCGGTCAATTGTCACCTCAAAAATAAATCGAGAGACTTTGAAAGCTCTTAATTTTTTGACGCCGCAGAAAAATTAGGTCCTCTTTTCTTTACTCCTTTCCTTTTTTTGTTACGTAAAACCTCATTATCGTTTATGCCTTTTCGGCAAAAATTTCCTCACACAAATAATTTCAATCTCCTCTGAATTATAATACGCGAAAGATGTCGACGATCAAAGTAACTTCCTCACAGTCACCAATTTCTCGATCCTCCCGTATAGGCATAATTGGGGCTGGACCAGCGGGTGTTTCAATCGCTCACTTTTTACGTAAGGAAGGCTATTCAAATGTGACGTTATTGGAATCCGCTCCCCACATAGCAGGCAAAAGTTCTACTTTTTATCATGATAATCGTGGTTACGATGTTGGTGCTTTGATGGTCGGTAACAACTATTCACTAGTCAGATCCATTGCGGCTGAACTTGATTGTCCTCTCGAAAAATTTTATTGTGGTGCTTTGGACATTGATGCAAATAAACTTATGATTGAAAATGTTCGCCATATTGGAATTATTTCCGATTCTTTTTCAAAAAACATGTCTCATTATTTAGAGGAAAAAAAAAAATTTGAAAAAGTTAACTTACCTGGTCATGGCGATCTAAGCGAAAGTCATCTCTATGCACCCATTGTTCAATACTTGAAAGATCGAAAATTGGAATATCTGAAAGATGCTTGGGCTTTAGCATATACCTCCGCTGGATATGGTTATATTCAGGATGATATACCCGCTGCATATTTCCTTAAATTCATTCAAAATTCAGAAAATACTATTTGGCGGTTTAAGAACGGTTTTCAGGATTTCTGGATCAAAATGGCTAAGGTACCTTTTTTAAATTTGTATTCAATATTTCTATATATGCTTTTTGTTCATTTTCAATCACGTGACAATCCATGATATTGGTTTATATAGGATCTTAATATTATATGTGATGCTAAAGTAATATCTGTTGACCGTTCTCTCAAAAGCCGAAACCTTGGTCCGATTCTCGTCACCACTCAAAATACCCGATCCAATTTTTCTCAGACCCTTGCATTCGACCAAATAATAATTGCCACTAATCCTCGACAAACCGTTCAATTTCTTGATACTCCCTCCCCTTTTGAAACCCATCTATTTTCTCAAATAATTACATTTGATTATTATACAATAATTGCGACTGTGGAAGGTTTGCCTACAAAAGTTGGAATGACTACAATTCCTAAGCATTGCAGCTCTAAGGAATTTGTTGGACATGTTACTGCATATTATTGTGCTTACGAAGATGTACATACATATTTATTTTATGCTTACGGTAGTAAAGAGATTGACCAAGAACGAGTTACAGAAATATTTAAAGAAGATGTTATCAAAATGGGAGGTGAATTAAAGGAGATTCATTATAATCAACGTTGGGACTTCTTCCCTCATGGTAAAATTCATTATTTATCATTCATCACGTGACCGATAAAAAAAAAACTTATACATATATTATTTTATTATTATATTTATTATTATTATAGTCTCATCACTTAGCATGGCTAGGGGTTTCTATAGCAAAGTAGAAAACATGCAAGGACAGGATGGAACTTTCTATGTTGGTGGCTGGCTTGATTTTGAACTTACAGAAAATTGCATCTCATACAGTAAAGATCTCGTTCATCGTTTCTTCAATCCTTCCATGACTAATTCTCAAGAAATCCTCCATTTACCAATCCGTCCAAAAATTGATGTCAACCCTGCTTCAACTACAAATTGGGGAATCGTATTACGTCTCGCCGCAAAGCGTTTTCCTAATAAAGTTGCTTTTTCTTGGGTTGATGTTAACGTTCGGGAGGAAGCTAAAATTACTTACACAGAATTATATCGTCAAGCTCGTGCTGTCGCTTACTACCTTCGTCATACTGCCAACCTTAATACTGGGGATCCGATTTTACTTTGTTATGCACCTGGTTTAAAATTCCTTCCAATTCTTTTTGGATGCATGTTGGCCGGTATAACAGCTGTACCTATAGCACCACCAAATCTTGCAACTGCCGATAAAGATATAGCAAGATTTAAATATCTTTCGACAACCACCAGTGCAAAAATTGTTTTTAGTGACAAAAATTACATGCTATACACGAGACTCTATGCGGCAAAAAGTTTTTTCGGAATGGCCAATAAAATAGATTGGCCAGAAGGGTTGATATGGGTTGAAGGAGAAAAGGTTATTAGCTCAAAAGATCTTTTTGATGAGAAATTAATTGAAGAAGTTGATTGTGAAAACGTTGCAGTAATTCAATTTTCGTCTGGTAGCACTGGTGATCCAAAAGGTGTCATGCTCACCCATAAGAATTTACTTCATAACGTGGATCTTATGCAACATGAAATTGGTTTAAATGAAGATTCTATGATCGCTTTTTGGGTACCCCAATTTCACGACCTTGGGCTTATTGGTGGATTCCTTAATACTGTTCGAGGGGCTTGTCAATCATGCGTTATGTCACCTTTGACGTTCTTGCAAAAACCTGAATGTTGGCTTCAAATGGTAATAATTACTTCTATCAAATTTATCACATTCTGGATGATATACATTGATGTGTAATTAATTGTATATAAATATTTTTTCTTATTAACATAGATTACTAAATATAACGCCGATTATACTGCAGCACCAAACTTTGCCTACGAATTAGCAACACGAAAATGTGATGAAAAATTGATCGCTTCGCTAAACTTAAGTTCTCTTCGGGGCGCGTTCAATGGTGCGGAACCGGTTCGTTGGTCAACGCTTAGATCATTTGCTAGAAAGTTTGGTCCGGCAGGATTTAAACTTTCAATGTTTAGGTGCTTATACGGTTTAGCCGAACATTGTGCCTACTCGGTTGGCTTCCAAAATCTTTATGACGTTCCCACTGTACTTGATATCGATCCGCAAGCTTTGCGACAAGGTCATGTGATCGTTAGGTCGAAATCCGAAAATCCAAATAATATAGTTTCAACCGGCGTACCTAGTCCGGGCATGCAAGTCGAAGTTAGAATCGTGGATCGGGAAACGAGACAACTCTGTTCACCTTGTACTATAGGAGAAGTCTGGCTTTCTAGTCCAAGCGTTGGTAAAGGTTATTTCGGAAAAGAAGAAATATCAGAAGATACATTTAGAGCAAAATTGAATAATAAGGACCACGGCAATTGGATAAATGATAATGGAAGTTTTCTGAGAACGGGAGACCTTGGATTCTTGTTTAATGGAGAACTTTTTATAACTGGAAGAGTAACTATCATTTTATTATCATATTATTGTATAACATTTATTATAATATTCTTTATTAATGTCAAATTATATAGGAAAAGGATGTTATAATAATTAATGGTAAAAATCATTACCCACAAGATATTGAAGTTTCTGTTCAAGAATGTCATAATGAAATCAGACCGGGTTGTGTTGCAGCACTTCATCATTCTGATGTAGAAACTGGTACTGATTCACTTATAATCCTCGTTGAAATTCGCAATCAAAAAGACACTAGGCTGGAATTCTTACAGCTTATAATTGACGAAATTGCTCGAACTGTTCCTGGAAAACATGGACTTTCACCTCAAAGAATTGTCATTCTTAAACAGCATAGTATTCCAAAGACGACAAGTGGTAAACTTCAACGATCGAAAGCAAAAGATATGTTATTATCTGGTCTTTTAGATAAAAGGATTTTATTAAGCACGGGTGAGATTGTTGTTGAACCGAATTTTGATGCACCGAGTTCGAAACGTTCAAGCCATGTCGCAGACCCAAAAAAGATCATGGATGTTTCAAGTATCGAAAAAAAAATCGCCATTCATGTTCATCAAGTTTCCAAATTGGCATCGAAATTACTGGTTAATGAAATTGATATGAAAGCAAATCTTATCACTGTTTACGGTTTTGATTCACTTGGTGCCGTTCAATTAACGGCTTGTCTCAAAGACGAATTTGGCATAGAACTCGCACCTGCTCTTATTGTGGATCATTATACAATTGCTGATTTGGCAGTTCATATTTATAAACAGTTAAATGAAAAAGTTTTATGTGAGAATATTAATGAAGTAATGCCTCTCAAACAAATTCAAAGTCAAATTGCGAGCCAAGTTCATGCTGTATCTAAAGTTGCGGCAAAGATTCCATTGGATCAACTTAATTTCAATGCTAATCTCATCACCGACTATGGATTTGATTCGCTTGCTGCTGTGCAGTTGACTGCTTCAATGAGTCAAATTTTTGGTATTGAGATAGCTCCAACATTATTATATGACGTTCACACGATTGGAGATCTGGCAAATCATGTACACAAACAACTTTCAGAAAATAAACCATCCGGGAAAATATCACAATCACACGAACATTTAAACAAACCTCTAAAGGAGGAACTACGTTTAATACCCTTGGCCCCACGTACCATAATTAATAAACATAATCCAACTCTTTACTGTGTTCACCCACTTTTGGGAAATGTTGCTAGTTATGTTCATTTATCTCGTAAACTTGGAATCACTCGACCTGTATATGGTATTCAAGCTCCTAATGATGTTGAAAGTGACATTCCATCAATGGCCGAGAGATACGTTAAGGCTGTTCAAGATGCACAAGCTTCAGGACCTTATTTCCTATGTGGATATTCCTATGGTGGTCTTATCGCATGGGAAATGGCCAGAATATTACAAAAATCCGGATCTAAAGTCGGAGGGCTATATCTTATTGATGCACCGTCACCCCTAATGAATCGTGTTCGTCCACCGATTAGTGCATATAATGAACCACATAAAATCTGGGAGTCGGATATTGAACAACTCCTCACTGACGTTGACAGCCAATGGATGCACCGTCAAGAATCAAGTGATCCAATAGAGATCGAAGCTTTCAAAAGGAAAGTTGGCATACTAATAGCATCAATGTATAATCATACTGCAGATATTACCACCGTAGATTCTATCCAACCATTCCCAATTCATTATTGGAGGGCGAAAGATTTTGCAGGAAAAACGAGTAATTTATTACTTGATCATCCGTTATTTAATGAACCGAATTTTGGATGGGAACGTTATCAAGGTAACATTACATTTCACAGGCCAATTCCCGGAAACCATTATTCGATTCTTAGAGAAGACACATCTGGAAGATTGGCTAAAGAAATTGACATGCATATGCCACATAACAATAAGAGAAGCAGTATGGATTTAAAACCATTAATGCTTGAAACCGTAGCAACGACACCATCAAGTAGATCAAGTAGCGCTCCAACTTCTGCCGCTTCTCGATCATCATCATCGACAGCATTTCCATTATTTAGAATCGGAAATAATGGTCCTATGAATAAAAGAGAGGTTGCAAACATGGCCATGAACATACAAATTCCATTGCCTGTTGTTCTGGTTGGAATGATTGTGTGTGCATGGTTATACTCTAACGTTACTATACTATTATGAACAAGGACTAATATATATTAGTACCTTAATAATTTGAAAGATCACAATATATCTCAAACTATATACACTCATTAAAGACATTTTAAAAGTAGATACAAATCTGAAATCAAAATATTTCTCTTTATTATTCAAAAAAAAAAAAAAATTTAAAAAATTTAATTGGCTTTTTTTTTGTTCTTTTTTTTTTAATTTATCAGATTCTTTCGATTTTCTTTCTTGGAATGGGGGATTTTTTGTTTATACTATTCTTTTTTTCTGTTTTGTAATATATTTGTTTTACATGTCTCGATGCTAATAAAAATGCATATGTTTAAAAAAAACTTGCGAAAATTTTTATAAATGTGCTATTAATAAGCAGAAGTTTTGAAAGAACACGCAGCTTACAAAAGATTTGCCAAGTAAATATTCTATAACTTTGGTTTTTCAACCAGTACAATAATTTGTCACGTAGACCACCTATTGTACGAGATATTAGACTCGCCGTGGTGAGTTTTCACGTGATTTATATTAATCAAACGCGATTTTTCAAAAGTATAAACGGCTTACTGGAAGTGCAAAGTGTATATACAACAAATTAAGAACTCATACAGGGGGATCCCCAAAATTCCAGGTCGGAATACGTCGGAATCATGATCGGCAGGACCGGAATTAACTAAGATCACTAAAAGTTTTACTAATGAAACTAGTGTTCGAAATGGACCGGATCGGACGGATCTTTTTAAAGATCTGGTCCGATCCTAAAACTTGGATCGGAACTAAGTTAGGATCTGAAACCGTATCACATATACCCGGATCCGATTCGGATCCGATCTGCTTTTTTTAACCTTCGCATAATTGGCATAAATTCTGAAACACCTGATAAAAAATTTGCTGAATGATTTTGATACGTATTATATTTAATTTATTATCAGGTGCCTAATATAAATAAAACTAGTATCTCTGATTGAATACAGAAATTTGATACTCAGTATTAAATATTGTATGTGCGAACTTTAATATCATGCGCGCATTTTCCACCTAAACAAATTTAAAATATGCAAAAAAAAAGAAATTTACATGGCTTTATATATATGGAGAGTGCCAATCATTTTTAATTATATGCATAAATTTAAATATATGTACGCACCTACTGTATCGATCCAATTTACATCACTGATGATACTTTCAAAACATCTTTACTGGCAAAGAATTTAGAAAGTATCAGTTCGAAAAATTACTAAAACTTAGATGTTAGCAGATTTTTTGCAAGTCAGATTCTTAATCACTTTTAAAGATATGAATGAATTATAACACATTTTTAACAAATGCAGTAATGATAAAATCTTGATTTTGATCTAAACATTTTCTGGATGCAAACACATAATAGTAATATACACAAAATTATTAATTGGTACTGCATTATTTCTAAACATGAAATTGTAAAAAAATTTTAAAATTAATTAACAAGAAAATCTTAATGCATGTAATTTATTTATTTATTTTTTGGTATTAAGATGAGGCCTTGCTTATATCTTTATTAAGAATTTAAAATAGTTACATGTATATATACTATGATTAAAGCCAACACTTGCAATTAGAGTTAACTATTAAACTACTAACTATACAGTTACTACTGTTTGTATGAAACAAATAAATTAAAAATTATATGTAAAAATAAAAGCTCAGACTAATTTATCTGTGACTTAAACCTACTAGAGTAGTCAAAGTTCATCTAGATTTGAATATTTAATATATAATTTGATAATATTGTAATAAAATTTACTAAAAACTAGCAAGCTATAATAATTTTTTTTTTTTTTTAAATATTAAGGTGAGTACTTGTGATCCAGGATTTTATTAATAGTACATTCAGCTAATGGTTGCATTACAACTACAGGAGGCAACCATGAAAAGAGTATACAACTAGTCACTCATACAACTTTAGTCATTGTCTAATTTAAGTAGTCCATCCAAAGGTTCTATACTAGCTGTCATACCTGAAACCTACTTGTAAGTTCCCTATTTAACTACTCTGTTCCCATATCCACCCATCTACCTACATCTACCAAGATGTTCCAGTCGATACTGGTGCAAATATGCCATGGTCACTAAGTCTTTAAAGCAGTTCACTCATATGGGAAACCTTTGATCTTGTACTAAATCTTCTAGAATCTTCTGTATCTTATTCTTACAGCTGACCTGGTATCGTTATAGCTAAGACCAACACTGGCAGTCAGGATATACCATTTAACTGCTATGCCCTTGTAGAGTTCATCCCAACCCTGGTACTGACTTCACAACATATCCCTACTACTTTGGTATTCAATTTAAGTTCTACTAAGTTCTCAAACCAGATAACCCAGAAAGGCAGGTTGTAACTATACACTTTTGGTTTACATGTTTGCTAACATGTAACCTTTTCCTTCAGAACCCGGAAATTCTGGTGGCCTGATTGGTTCCATTTGGCCCCTCCTTAAAGGTCAGCTCTTTGCCTAGTTTCACAAGTTCTAACTCTGTTTCATAGGTCTAGTCTTTACAGTAGCACTGTTGAAAGTTCAGGTTACCTCTCTATTCGGGTCTTCCAAGTAGGCTTCTGTCCTCCTACCTGATTCCCATGATTTATATGGCCTAAGGACTTATCTTGGGTTCACACTGCCCAGTACCAGTTTGTGTTCCTTCATATAATGTTGCACGAATACCTAGACCTTCCAATCAGGCTGGTATAATACAGTTACAGATATCCTATCCCAACCAATTACAGAAGACAGTTAGCTGTAATACAGAAAGAATTGCAAATTTTCACCATCACTAGGATTTGAACTCTAGACTTGGAGGTTGACAACCTATCCACTTCACTAGGTCATCACACCTCTAGTTATAATAATTTTAAATGCATGAATACTAAGTAGAAGATCTTTTATTTAAAGAAAAATAAAATAAATAAAAATAACCAAAAATAAGAAATAAATATTTAAAAATAGAATTTAAATTTAATAACCTTCTAGGCACTATAAGGTATAATAATAGGATCAGCTTTTAAACTAATTCTATTGTTCATTTTATGCAGATTAAGTATAACAAAATATTTATCCTATACAAAGATTATTAGATTTTAAAACTTAAAAATGGTTATAGAATATAATCATAAAAAGAAAAGTCTTAATAATTAGACTATTTATAGCTATATGTGGTTTTTAAATTCTAATAATATAAAGCTAGTATTTATCAAATAACTAATTAAGAAAACCAACTATTCATTTTATATTATTATAAGAAAAAGAACAGTAAAATAAATAATATAAAGTTAGTATTTGTCAAATAACTAATTAAGAAAACCAGTTTTTTATTTTATATTATTATAAGAAACAAAGAAGAAAAATAAAAGAAATAAAGATAAAATATAGAAAAAAATAAAATAAAAAATAAAATAAAAAATAGTTTTTATAAATAATATTTAAAGAATAATAGTTAAAGGTTATTTTATTAAAGAATTTTTGGTTAAATAATTATTACAAGAAACTTTTTATATATATAAAAGTAGAACTTCTAAGAACTATTAAAAACTTTTAGGAACTATTAAAAACTGTTCAAAAACTGTTCTTTTAGAAAGACAAAAAGCTATTCTTTTTATAACTTTTAACCTAAAACAAAAGGGTTAAATTAGTTCACATATCTCTAAACAGAAATGAAAATCAAAAAAGAACTGCAACAGTCATGTTTGCAACAGAAGAAGATATAAATCAGCCCAATCAAAATTATTTATGTTTAACAACTTCTGACTTTACTAGATAAAAGAAAAAATAGAAGAAACAAGACAAAGAAAAAGCTATAAACAAGGAAGAGAATGAAGCTAAAAAAGGTGTAGTTAAGCCTCTAATGCAGAAAAGAACATCAGCAGAAAAGAAGAACAAAAACATAGGTTAAACATAAATAAGAGAAGAAGAGGACAAAACTGAAGAATGGAAGATCAAATAACAATAAGCAAAGGTTATACACAAGATCAAGTTGCAGAAAATGAAGCAAAACATATAAACTTATTCAAAGAAGAAGACAAACCTCATAAAAAGAAAATAGTCAAAACAAAGTCTCAAGTATAAGAAGAAATTTTATACACAAATGACATTCTAAGTTGTATTTTAGAAAGACTTAAGAGGTTAAAAGGCATAAGAAATATAACAAAAAGAAGTCTAACATATCACTCCTAAGGGGCCCTAGTTGAATTAATGAGTATAGACCAAAAGATCGAAAAGTTTCTGCATAGAGAAAGAAGGTATTTTAAAAGAAGCAATATGGAAACATCTTTTAGTTACAAAAAAAAAACAAAGAAAAAAGAAAAAGAAAAAGAAGTAGACATAGAAACACAATATAAATGTTTAAAAGAAAAATGGAAACAAGAAAAGAAAGAAATCAAAATTGCATATCACAATATTAATAGGCTTAAAACTAAAGGTTGGAAGTTAGAAAACCTTATAGAATAGGCAAGTAAAAAAGAACTTACAATAGTAGAGATAATATAAACAAACATTACAGAAAAGAAAGAAAAGTTTTTATTGTATAATTGTAGCACACAGTATAAGGGTTACTGGACTAGTGCAGCAACAGACAAGAAAAAAGGTTCAGGCATAGGAATATTAATAAATGGAAGGTAGGAAAAGCATATAGAAGTAGTTAAAAAAATCAGTGAATACTTGCTAGAGGTGAGATTATATTTTAAACAATTAGAACTAGTAGTATTAAGAGTATATATCTTACCAAATGACAAATCAATTAGTAAAAGAATTTAGCAAAAAATTATAAAGATAGTAAGTAACAAACAAAAAAAGATGTACAGAAATAGTTATATTAAGTAATTTTAATCATATAGTAGATAATATACTAGATAGACAACACTCACAAACATTAAGCTACAAAAAACTACTAATATTTAGTTGACTCAAAAGACAGAACTTTGTAAACTCGTTCAGAAACATGCACCTAGCAAAATAAGCATATACATGGTCAAATCAGAAGGCTGTAACAAG